ACCAAATCAAAGAATTCACGCGATATGCTGTGATAAGACGTATTACAAATGGACAAAGCTGAAATGAATTGCCCGCCTCCCTAACTCCCCTGCGGACTAAATCGATTGCAACGAGCATCCAGCCTAATCACGGAAAAACGGGGCTACGTGGGGATGTGAGTGCCAAGGCGCCAGCTGCGCAGCCACGGAGGGAAGAACATCAGCCAGCGAAATTGGAATCACAAAGCGCCACAATTGCAACTGCGAAGTTCGAAAAATTAAGAAATGAGAATGCGCCAGAGGGTGTGCTTCGCCAGCGGATTCAGAAGATTCCATTAAAATAAATCAGACTGCGAACAACTGGGCTCGTCGATCAGCAGAAGCGCCGCGCAGAAAAGAGTCGAAAGACAGCCAACGGGCCGTGCGCCAGCCGTCACACACCGCGGGTCCGTTTCGGAGCCCGCGCTCGCCAACATCCCGAAGCCATCGAGCGATCGTTCCCCGCGCATCCGCCGCCCGCTGCTGCCGTGGATCAGCCCGCATGCGTATTATATCCGGTGGATCGAACCTCGATGTCGCTGAGAGAGCACAAGCAGCGCGTCAGAAGCAGCTTCTTCTCGTTGTCGGCGTCGTCGGCGGCAGCGGCCGCTTTAGCCGCGCTCTTCGCGAACAGTGATTTCGGCACTGGCCTGGCACGCTTATATACCCCGTCACGAATGCTTTTTGCACGACAAAATTTGCATGAAAAATTTGCATAACGGTTTTGCAGGAAAATTCACTTTGAAAATGCATTTTCGCCTTTTCTCGGGAAATTACGCGGCAGGCATAAACAAATGTGTACGTACACGCAAGCACACGCACACACGTACAGACAAACACACGTGCACACACATACAAGCACACATAGGCTGATCTAGGGCAGTTTCTTGCGGGGCGGCGGGGGAGGGGGGGGAGCTATTTGGGCGATTTTTCCCCTATCTCTCCCTGTCGCCTGCTACCCCCGTTCACCGGTCCTATCGGCAGCGGCATGGCGGAGGGAAGAAACCAGGGCTCTGGGGGAGGCACGAGAGGTGTCGAAGAGGGTTCTTCTTTACTTTTAGCACTGCTACCAGTGACGCTGAGTGAGCGAAAGACCCATGACCGCCGTCCCCCTGGATCCACCAATGCACGCACAGTAGCTGTTCTATGGCGTGGCGGGTGGAACGAAATGATGCCGGACAGACCTGGGCTCAGAATCTGCGGGTACA